CATTCTGGATGAGGACACAGAAGCTTCCAGTCTGAGGAAACAGGACCAGCTGAGGAAGTGGCGAGGTGAGATAGCTATGGCTCGCTCTGTCTCTCTGATCTACCAGCATGGACCCCAATTACTGGCCTCAGGTTTGATTTTATTAATAAGAACTTTTAAGATTCCTGCTACACCAAGGGTATCCCATATGTGGTGCAGGGAAACATGCTGGGCAGATGCAGTGGTGGGCTGTGGTGAATCAGGCCATGTGGGCATGGTGGAGGCCAGTAATTCACAACTGAGAGGCTGCATTCAGGTTGAGAGTATATTATAACAGAGAGATGAAGAGAAAGATAGAAAAGAGAAAGACAGAAAGGGAGAGAAGTTGTAGGTGCACACCTCATGGGAGGAAAAGCAGAAGAGAAAGAGAAGGGAAGGGAAAGAGATTTCCTTAGAATGATACTTTTATGTCAGGACACAGGGCGGCACCAAGGGGTGGGATTTCAAGGGCCAGATTAGAATATTAAAATTCCTCCATTTTGATTATTATAAGAGGTGATTTATGGGAGCAAGTGGGGGAACAAGGGTGCTGTATTCTCGATGCTTCTTCAAGCTGACAAGGGGTGAAGTGGGAAGGGGGAACCGGGAGTCACACATGGTGGAAGAAATCAAGAACATTCCTCAAGGGAGCTGAGGAGGCAGGTTGCAGCAGTGGTGTTCCAGGAGCTTGGTGGAAAATGGCATGCCAAATCAGGAGTATAAAAGCATGTCATCTGCTGTTTCTCTGAAGGTCAGGTGGGAACAACACATCTGCAAAATATGCTCAGAAAATAGCTGGGGTCTTGAGATTGTTAGTTTCATCAGACCAGATTTCTTGATGCAGTATCAAAACTTTTCCCAGGATCCTGTAGTTATCTGTAAGACAGCTGGAATGGATTTACGTCATGGCAAAGGAGTTAAAAATCTATTTAAGGACTCTTAAGAACTCTTTGTAGTCAATGTTCTATCAGTTTATCAAAGCTGCATTTATCAGTATTAAAACTTTGAACCTCTGAAGTTATATCTGAAATGGGTCTGTCCTGTATCATGAAGTCTGTGAATGAGGCATATATATCTGTAATTTGAGAGCATATATATATTCTTGGGATTGGGGCTGTTAAACTGATACCCTAGTCATCAAACACCGTCCGATCTGAAATGGATAAGTTTAAGAAGAAGTGAGGAAGCTTTCCAGCTACCGAGGCAGCGATCCCAAGTCTTCCCAAGGTCACTGGGAGGACAAAAGCCCCAAAGCCAGCACTTGTTCAGCTGATCTAGAAGATCTGGTAGGTTTTTTTCAATCTAGTAAAGATTTGGGGAGACTGACCCACCTTGACTTTGCAGTATGGGGCAATCGGTCCTCAGTATTCCACTTATTCACAGTCTGGACAGGATCTCAGCATTTCACTTCATGGCCAGCCTTTCCATAAGCTTCCAGGTGGAAGTTCTTTCATGGCCATCTATCTTATTGGAGAAGGTACAGGATGCTGCCAGGAGCTGACATGTCTATTGATCATAAAAAGACTTTTATATTAAATGCCTTATTCTCAGATCTCTACAGGTGTTTGAGGACTGTGGGAACAAAATCTGTTAGATGTATTTATAACTTTGAGAGCATATGTATGACTTAAATATGAATATACAGGTTTCCCAGTTAGTTACAGCTCAGTGAAGTTAGCAAAGACAAGGAGGTTCACATTCTTAAGCCTGAATAGACCTTGAGTAAAGAGAGACATTCTTTAAGCTGTTGGCCGTGATATCTGAATCTCTTACCTTTTGGGGGGGTTCGAGACAGGGTTCCGCTGTGTAGCTTTGTGCCTTTCCTGGAACTCACTTGGTAGCCCAGGCTGGCCTCGAACTCACAGATATCCACCTGCCTCTGCCTCCTGAGTGCTGGGATTAAAGGCGTAAGCCACCACCGTCCAGCCCTCTATTACCACTTTTAAGGCCCTGTAACTGTAGTTCTGATCTTGGAGTACAGCTAGATTATAATCCTGAAAAATTTATATAGAAATAATTATTTCTTAAGCTGTCTCCTGAGAAGGTAAAGAAGAGTAACAAGGGAGAGATACCAAGGCCGAATGAGAACAGGAGAATGGGGGCTTATGAGTCAGGGTGCAGCCCAACTCTGAGAAAAGGACCTTCTGAGAAGAGGAAAAAGACCCTCTTGGTGGACCAGAAGCTCCATCCTGATTGATTTTTATAGAAATAACAATTTCTTAAGATTATAGAATACCTCCCTAGTTCTGCATAAAGAAGGTCAAGTATCTTATCTTATTGCAGAACCATTTTAATTAACAAACATCAATGAATATTAGATAGTCAATCAGTCCTCGATGCCAGGGGGGTTCCGTTTGGCCCAGCATTTCAGCCTATTCTGGACAAGGTAGATTAAGACATCATTCCACTTTGCATTTGGGCAGATAAGTAGCTTCAACAGTGTTCTGGTTGGCTTTATGTCAAGTTGACACAAGCTAGAGTCATAAGAGAGAAAGGAGCCTCAGCTGAGGAAATGCCTCAGTGAGATCCAGTGTTAAGGCATTATCTCAATTAGTGATCAGTGGGGGAGGGCCCAGCACATGGTAGGTGGTTCCATCCCTAGGCTGGTTGACCTGGGTTGTATAAGAAAGCAGTCTGAGCAAGCCAGGGTAAGCCAGCCAGTAAGAAGCTCCCATCTAAAGCCTCTGCAGAGAGTCAGCTCCTGCCTCCAGGATCCTGCCCTGTTTGAATTTCTGTCCCAACTTCCTTCACTGATGAACTGCAATGTGGAAGTGTAGGCTGAATAAACCCTTTCCTTGCCAACTTGCTTTCTGGCCATGGTCTTTCCTCACAGAAATAGAAAAATCTAACTAATGACACCAGTCTGTGTTGGAAATAATAGTATGTCCATTAATACTCAAAGGAATGAAAGAATTTGCATATATGAGGTGTGAATTGTGTTTTCAGTGTTTTCTACCTTGAGTAATGAGAACATGTCAAGTGTTCTGAATACGGTTCCTACAATCCATTGCACCTGTTCTGATATTTTATATCTATTATAAAAGTTTAATTTGGACTTGGGGTAGCTGCCACATGAAAGTTAGGAGTAGAACATTACCAGGAGGAAGGACCCAGCAAGAATGAACCAGAGGGCACAGGTGAAGGGCAGTGGTGGTGGGGGGTGAAGTAGGTCAAAGTGTAATAACACGTTGTGCTGGCAAAATGGCTCAGTAGTAAAGGTGTTTTCTGTCCAAGGATGCAAGCCTGACAGCTTGAGTTCAATCGCCAGAACCCAAATAAAGGTAAAAGAAAAAAAATCAGTTCCACAGAGTTTCCACAGAGTTACCTTCAACCTCCATACAGACCATGACATGAATACCTACACACACATCATTTACAGTAATAATAGATATGAAAGTGTGAGAGATCTAGTGGTCACACAAAGTTAGAACATTAGTAATCACCTCCAATTATTAAAATACATTCTATGAAGATGAGAGTTAATGTGTCCCTTTTTGTTTAATTTATTTATTCATTATTTAGCTGCTCGTTTCAGAGAAGCTTCTTCATGCAGTAGATGGTAATGAACACAGAGGCCCACAAATGGACCACATGAAGAGAGTGAGCGACTTGGAGCACTCAGCCCTATTAGGATGTCTTTATCAAAGCCCTTCCTGCAAGGCTCAGGTTCTGTGTGGAAGGAGAGTGAGAAAGTTGTAAGATCTGAAGTAATGGATGACCAAGGACACAGAATCTTCCAGACACCACAGGGCTGATGCACGTATCAACTGACAGAGACCATGACAGCATGCACAAGACCTGCACAGTTTCAAACCAGACAAGATCCCAGCACAGAGAAGACGGAGTGGGCACAAACCCCACACCTAACCAAAAGCTCTCTGCAACTGATAGCTACTTAATCCCCCCCACACACACACAATCCCTCCTTCCCTTCCTCCCTCTGTCCTCTGCACCTTCAGTTCCAGACCCCAAGCCCTTGTGTTCCTTTCTACATGCAAACCAACTACAAGCTTTTGCACTACCTTGCCAAAAGCATGGAGCACACATACAGCCCATTGTATATTTCTCCAAACAGCTAGACGCAGTCATCAGAGGCTGGCCATCCTGCCTCCAGACCCTAGCTGTGGTGGCACTGCTTGTCCAGGAGACAAAAATCTTGCTTCACAGCCCCCTACACATCCTCACTACACACACTCACTCAAGGACCTTATCAGCCACCTCGTTTTTCTAATACTCCCCCATCCAGGGCACAGCTTCTCTATGCTTGCTTGTTAGATCTCAACCTCGTATTTGAGCCATGTCCACTCCTCAGCCACACAACTCTACTTCCCAATAACCCTTTAGCTTTCTTGTTTCAGAAATATGTATTTGACATCCTCAAACATGGAGAGCTGAAATGAGGAAAAGGTGACAGGAAAACTTTTGGGTTCTCTCTCTCTCTCTCTCTCTCTCTCTCTCTCTCTCTCTCTCTCTCTCTCTCTTTCTCTGCATGTGCATTCATTCTGTGTGGATCCCAGCATGGTCAACATATCTAGTAAGTACCACTATCCTTATTCTCACCTAGAGCTTTCTATTTTTGTTTTAATGATCCACAAATCCCTTATGTCTATGATACCAGTCACTTTCCCTTTCCATTTGATATACTTAGTAAATAGCAAGTAAATTATTATTTTTCTTCAGAATTTCAATAACCTACACTTTCATATTGCTATAGAGGTGATAAGATTTCCTACTGATTAGAAGTGCATTTAAATACCCCCATCCTAATTATTCTTCCTATCTTGGAAGTAAATTTGAAGCCAAACCAGTTTGCCTGTATTAGTCAGGGTTCTCTAGAGCAACAGAACTTGTAGAATGAATCTCTATATACAGAAAGAGAGAAAGGGATTTTCTTAGAATGGCTTACATGCTGTCATCCAGCTAATTGAATAGTGCTACCTGTGTATGGAAGGTCCAGGAACCCAGTGTTGTTCATCCATGAGGGTACATGTCTCAGCTGATCTTCAGTAGTTGCCAGAATCCTGAGGAAGCAGGCAGAGAGAACAAGTGTCCTTCCATGTCCTTTATATAAGCTGACAGTAGAAGGTGTGGTCTAGATGAGAGATGGCTCTTCCAACCTCAGAGATCTAGAAGTAGGTTTGCCCACTTCAAATGATTTTTATTAAGAAAAAAAATCCCTCACAGGTGTGCTAAGCCATTTTGGTTTTAGTTGATTACAGGTATACTCAAGTTGACAACCAAAAATAGCAAGCACATTGCCCATGCCTATAATCCTAGCAATCGGGAGGCTGAAGCAGGACAATTGCCATAAGGTCAGTGCAAGCCAGAACTACATAGGTGTTCCAAGCCAAGCCAACCTGAGCTACAGTGTGAGATTCTGTCTGAAATATATGAGAGAGAAAAAAGTCTTAACCTTCGAGGCATAGAGTCTTGGCATAATTCAAGTAGCTCACATTAAAAGTGGGCTCTCTCAGTTTTTGAAGATCATGTGCATTCTCTCATAGTGTCAAAACTTTCTCTATTGTTTCAGACAGAGAAAAAACCTCCACCCAGCCTGGGGTTGTCGATTTAAAATGTCAGGCCACAGTAGGGGATGACTTTTCCAAACTTGGATCTTTGAGGATAGGGGAACCATGAGGCAAACCCTGATCATATATAACAGGGACACTTTCTGGTTTGTTTGCTGGTATGATGTGGCTTCACAATAGGTAAGCACTGAACTACACTCATGTTCACTTTATTGGTATGGAGAGTCTCACCCAGCCCAGGCTGGCCTTGAACTAATTTCAAGGGCTTGACCTCCTGATTCTCCTGCTTCAGCCTCCCAAGTTCTAGGATGACAGAGTCCACCACTGTGCCCAGCTTCAGGGTTACTTTTAAGAGTGTCCACAATCAGTGAAGATTAGGAATAACCTCCTAGCATTAAACCAAACCATCCCTGGAGGACGTGAGGTCCTCTTGAAAACACTATGAAGTATTCTGGATGACACTAGATGTTGCACCATCTGGAAGGTGGGCATATTTGTTTCCCTTAGTTAGAAGCTGCTGTGGGAAGACACCAAGCAGAGCATCTCCAGGTCACCTTAATAGCAGAAGTCCCCACATATCCCCTCTGCCTCCTAGTCAATGAAGAAAGGCAAATCTTCCAAGGTGTCTGGCAGGGAAGCAGGAATGGCCATGTTGTGCACATGAGAGTGACGTCATACAGGAGCTTATGCATGAGCCACTGGGACTAGATCCCTTTCCCTGAAGGAGAGAGGCAAAGCCTTGATGCCCCAACACCTGCACTGGAGAGTGCAGCTGCCTCCAGGAGAGGGGGAGGGGAGGTCTGCTGGTCTTTTCAGCTCAGGGACCAGCCCAGCAGGAGTGCTCATTAGGCAGCATGGCTCTGGGCTGTGCAGGTCCCTGACAGGATTTGCACACCTGAAGAGCTAAGCATGTGTGGCCTGCACCTCAGCTCTCCTCAGGGACATTGGTGCCCTGCAGTCCTCTGAGGGTGTTGAAAACAAGCCCAAGTTAGAGACCTTGGCCTCTAATCTAGCTCTTTCTAGGGCTAGAAGTAAATCTCTAAATTTCCACAAATATTTCACCATCTTCAATTACCTGTATGATCTTGTCAAAGACAGTCCACTGCCCCTGTTCTGTTGGACTGGCAGCACACTCTGACTCCATTTTCACCTGGAAGCCTGATCTGGCCCAGGCAGGATGGGGATCTCTCAGCAGACTTCCTGCACAACCTGCCCCCCCCAACAAACACACATTCCATCTCACACTACATACACCTCGCTGAATCTCAACTCCCAAGCTATGATGTGGACTCTCTGATGTCTGGACATTTGCCTCTAGAGAACTGAGACTTGTGTGATCTTTTCCCATGAAAAATGTCATGGTGACTGAAGGGTGGGTTCCCTCCATCCCTCAGAAGTTCTCATGAACAGGTCAGTGACCCCTATAAGTGCTGCACACCCTGATTGCCTTCACTGGGGAGATGAGCACCTTAGCTGCCCCAGGTCACAAATGTGGGACAACAGTTGGTGGGAGTCAGCAATGGAATTGTCGTGAGGTGAGGAGAGCAACAGAAGCATGGTGAGTGGCACTTGTCCTAGGAATTCCAACCACGCCCCCCCCACGGTCTCATGCCCAGTGGGACATTTAGTCATTTCTGCCTAGTCATTTCTGGGTCATATGTCCTACATAACCCATGCCCCGTGGCTGCATGGTCATGTAATCACACGGCGTGACCACGTGATCTATGCAAATGCGTGGAATAGCCATGTAGGCCTGTGTGCTCCAGTGCGAGCTGGCCATTAAAAGACAGGCCTCATGTTCCCCCTTCCGCAGGCCTGATCACATCTATCCCTTTCTCCTTTTCTTAATAAAACTCCTGTTAGTGGATTCTGTCACGTCTCATGACTTTTCCTAGCAGGGTAAAAACGCCGCTAAAAACCATCATTGCTGCCTTCTGGG